CTCAAGTGGAACACGGGATGAAATATCTTCTAAAGATATTAATGAATCTAATGAACCACAAAGAAGCAAAAGAACTAGAGTTAAGAAGTCTTTAGGACCGGATGAAATTGATTCTCAACTTATCTCATTTTACTTAGTAGAAGGAAATGAGTTGAATGTTGTAAGAACAATTCCTTTTGTTCTACAAGTGGAAACCGATCCTAAAACTTATAAAGAAGCTATGGCTTCTCGAGATAGCATGTTTTGGAAAGATGCAATCAAGGATGAAATGGATTCAATAATGTCAAATAAAACTTGGGAACTTGTCGATCTACCACCCGAATCCAAACCTATTGGTTGTAAATGGGTATTTAGGAGAAAATATAATGTTGATGGTTCTCTAAATACTTTCAAAGCTAGACTTGTAGCCAAATGTTATCGACAAAAGGAAGGAATTGACTATTTTGACACTTATGCACCAGTAGCAAGAATAACTTCTATTAGGATATTGTTTGCATTAGCCTCGATATATGACTTGCATGTTCATCAAATGGATGTCAAAACGGCATTCCTAAATGGGGATCTCGATGAGGAGGTCTATATGGAACAACTAGAAGGTTTTGTTTTACCAAGAAATGAACATAAGGTATGCAAGCTAATTAAATCGTTATATGGGCTAAAGCAAGCACCTAAGAAGTGGCATGAGAAATTTGACTTAGCAATTATTTCATATGGATTTAAACATAATAGTGTAGATAGATGTTTGTATTCTAAAGTGTGTGATGATTACATGATATTTCTATGCTTATATGTTGATGACATGATGATTATAAGTAATCACATGGATGGGATAAAAGAAACGAAGAGGTTTCTATCTTCCATATTTAAGATGAAGGATCTTGGATAAGTCGATACTATTTTGGGTATCAAAGTCTCAAAGACTAGTAGGGGTTATTACCTTTGTCAATCACATTATATTGAGAATGTGATAAATAAGTTCAAACATTTGAACATAAAAGAGTATAATACCCCTATTGATCCAAGCTCAAAACTTGTAAAAAATGATGGAAGAGAAATTGCTCAATTAGAGTATGCAAGTGTTATTGGAAGTCTTATGTATGCAGTTCAATGCACAAGACCAGATATAGCCTATGCAATAAGTAAACTTAGTAGGTTTACTAGCAATCCAAGTAATGAACATTGGAAAGCAATTGGGAGAGTTCTCGGATACTTAAAGAAAACCAAGAACTTAGATCTACAATATACTAAATTTCCAGCAATATTAGAAGGATTTACTGATGCTAGTTGGATATCTAGCACGAATGAAAGTAAATCAACTACGGGTTGGGTGTTTACTCTAGGAGGAGGTGCAGTTTCTTGGAAGTCGAAGAAACAAACATGCATAACACATTCAACTATGGAATCTGAATTTGTAGCCCTATCAGATACAGGAAAGGAGGCTGAATGGCTTAAAGACTTATTCTATGAGATACCTTTGGGATCAAAGAATATTTCTTCAATACCAATAATGTGTGATAGTCAAGCCACTTTAGCTAAAGCATACAATGATGTATATAACGGGAAGTCTAGACATATGAGTCTTAGACACAACTACATAAGGAAGTTAATCAAGGATGGAATAATTTCCCTAAATTATGTAAGGTCGAATGAAAATTTGGCGGATCCTCTAACTAAACCTCTAAATAGAGATTTAGTGGCATCTACTTCAAGTAGGATGGGATTGAAACTCCTTAACTGAAATATCCACCAATGATGGCAACCCTACCTGTCGTTACTCAAAAGGTTTTTCACGGGTTCAAAGGGTATCAACAAGTCATTCGATATGTGGATAGTTACAGCATTATTATAATCCGCTATAATCCTATCCTAGATTAATATAATGCTGGTTGTTACTAAAACGAGGGTTGAGCTATAAGCTCTTAATAAAGTTCAGTGTAAAACCACAAGTACTTCTAAAAGTAACAAAGGTACTGGAAGAACTTTACCTAAATAAACTTCAAGGTGGTGCCGCCTTAATAGAGAGTTGGAGTTCTCTTTTAAAAGTTTATTGAAAAAAGATAAGCGCAAGGCCATAAAAGCGCTAAGCGAGAAACGAGAAACTTGAGAACACGTGATATTCGTGTGTGTGTTCTTACCGGTATTGTCACATGAAATACTTGGTTCAAAGCTTCACGCTACCTTGAATTTCGACTTTACTTTGTTTGAATTACACTATGGTTAGATTCAAATCGAAAGATATCTAATCCTTACGCATGAGTATCTTTTTTGGTGGTTTTTCATCCATAAGGTGCACCACTTCGTAAAGCTATACTACTTGGCTATAAATAGGTGATCTTGGGTCATTGAAAAATGTTGAAAAAACACTTATTATATTGATCCTTCTTGAGATCAAATCCAAAAGATAAAATACCCTCTTATATTCATCTTTTCTTTGTGTTCTTAAGTTTTAGAGATTCAAACAAGTGTTTAGTGTTTGAATCTCTATAAGGCTTGATTAATTCTTCAAACCTTTTGCCGGATCACCCTTTAAACACCAAAATAGTGGGGGCAAAATTCATTTGAGGACAACAATCAAAGATTGTGTTTGAGCCTTCAAAGTTCTTCATATATCCTTTGCCATTTGTTCATCTCCTATACTTCTTTCGATAATTTTTCTATTTGTAATTCATTCTCATCTTTGGTGGAGTAACATTATTTCCAACAAATTCTTGTATAGGGTTCTGGTGTAATAGATACATCATGAGAATGGCTGCGAGCGAGTGTTCATATTTTGTCATTTTCGTCTGTCAACTGGTTCGTATTGTTGTAATTTCTCCCAGTGCATGTGGGTTTCCGTTATGGAGCTCAAACGTGATGTCGAACTTAAGGTCGAACTAGGGTGAATATATGTTTAATATCTAGCTATTTATGTTTAGCTAAATTGTTTTTTCATGCAATAAACAAATTTAACAATCTTCCTCTAATTCTCCAGATTCCATCAATCATAATGAAAAGAAAAAGATATTATGGTCAACAAGATCGCAACATAGTAAGTAATTCTCCATACTTGATGGATTAAACAAAGAAAAGAAAATAAAAAAGCATGAATAATGAAAGAAAGAGGGGCCTAATTTTCCAAATAATTGATCTTCTGTTCTTGTTTTTCCATATGGGATGCAACAAAATATCCATTAAATTTGTTATATTAGGGACGCAGCCGATAAAAACAATGAAAAAAAAAATATGGTAGGAATAAAATATGATAAGATCGTACGTCCAACAAACAAAAGTTACTAGTACTACTTCTTCTTGCCAAAACCTCTTTATATATTCGTCTTCTTAATTTCCATTTCCATTAACCGAATCAACATAGAGAAAATATCAGTCAGGCATGCTCTTTTTCATCCCAGTCTGGTCTGCCAAGTGTGAACTCTAAGCTTGGGTTTTTATAATCCCTATTAGACCCTCCATAGCTCTTCGGCATTGAAGAATCATATTCCTGCATTGGTTTTGAGGTTGTCACTCATATTATTACCAAGGGAAATAAAACGCAGAAGATTGCTTGCATTAAGGGGAATACATATTCCTCGACTATTATTAGTATGGTCGACGTTTTATCTCTCATGGGAAATTTCTATGACTGTTTTTAGCCATGGTGCAAACTCGATTTTCACTTAGTTTTGTGCGAAAGTGAAAAGAAAGTTGAAAAAGGAAGGAAATACCTCATATGCAACAAAGGAAAGAAGGGGGAAAAATATTAGACTTTTCCTCCACTGCCCTAATTCTACTCATATTGAAACGAACAAGTTAGAAATTTTCGTAATGTTTCTTTTCTCCATTATCCCTTGATCATGTGGACCAGTGTTAACATATTTTCTATTGAACAAGATATTATATAATATTTTTTAATATAATCATCTAAGACTAAGATGTAAAAAGAAAATATATACCTCTATCTGGCGGCTGGAATTTTGTTGTAATGGAAAAAATGACGATCTGAGACCATTAATGTCCCTGGCATTTGCTTGTAACCAACCCTCTCTATTGCTGAAAAACAACAATTAATGAAATTTGTTAGTTGAGATGCTACACAAACAACATATTTTCTTAGGTTTCAATACCTTAAAAATATGCTCTACTGCTAAGGCTAGTTTTTTTTTTTTCTAAAAGAAAATTACTTTTATTAATTTGCACGGCATAAGCATTTGATATATATGCATATGTACCTAAAAAATGGAATTTGAAATATTCCAACGGCTAATAAATATATGTTTAAGGTCCAATGGAGTTACATGGATTCAAAAATAACTAGTTCCAACCAAGTATATTTCAACAAAAAGACTGCTGGCTGTAATGTATAATTATGAATTAACTTAGGGTAGAGAAAAATAATGTTAGCAGCACAGTATTTTCAAAACACATTCTGTTGCCATTTCATTCAATCAAATCATCACAAACATAAAAGACGATATAAAAAGGGTAACACAGTCTGTCCAATAAAACTCAGCGGGAAAAAACTACAAAAGAAGCAATATTGTGGGCCACCTTATTCTTATCTCTAAAAATATGGTGACACTTGCAACACTCAACTTCTCAAACAGTTCTAAAATATCTGAAAATAAAATTGAGAGAAAGACTATCTGACAATTTAAGCCCTTGAATCACTTGTTATGAATCATATTCTGCAGTAATTAGGGCAATAAAATGAAGAAATGATTAGTAGAGAAGATTATTTTTGGCCATTGAACAGACTTACACTAAAAAAAGGGAAAAAAAGACCATTAATCCGCCTCCATAATTATTCATTAAAGACTTATGGTGTGTAAAGCTTCTTTTAGGTTTTCAAATGTACAACAAATTTAATATTTTAGTAACATTGTTAATTTTCAAATACACTGTTTTCATCTCAGCTAAGAAAAATTAAGTATTGTGATTTAAAATAACCATGGAATTTACAAAGATTAAACATGTTTATTTACATAAAAGCGAACAATTCACAAAGAGAAACAAGTTTTCATCTCGGCTAAGAAAAATTAAGCATTGTGATTTAAAATAACCATGGAATTTACAAAGATTAAACATGTTTATTTACATAAAAGCGAACAATTCACAAAGAGAAACAAGTTAAATGTAAAAGCAATGCAGATGAACCTTGCACAATGTCACGCTAATTATATTCATAAATGCAAGTTGAATGGATTTCAAGCTAAGCTATAGGTGGTTAAAACTGTAGAGGTGTAATTCTTTCGTTTCCATCTATTTCTATAAAAGCGTGACAGATGAAACATGCACATAGAAAGAAACAAAATTCAAGAAACGAGTGATGGTTTCTAATGAAATATCGCTGAATGGTGGAGTTGGTATTGATTATACTTCGATGGTTTGTTTTGTGAGAGTTTGATGAAACCGGTTGAGCTCCTTTAGAGTAGTAGAGATAGAGGTGGTTTCAACAAAATGTGACTTTCCAATTGCTTAACTCACAAGAGGACCTCTGCAAAAAGAAATTGATAATCATTCTTTCAAAACTCTTTTGTTGTTATACTCATTTTCAACAACATATTCTTACAATAAAATATTATTCACGTAAATTAAAATGTTTTCCCCCTACGTTTTAACCACAAATTTTTCAAGAATTACTATTCAAAAACTCGTTGTTTCCAAAAAAATACTGTCAAACAGGGTTTAGTACTATCATTATAGGCATACAACCAAGTCAACTTGAGTCTAACTTTAGAGTCTTCTTTTATTTTAGCGACATTTTCATCCAAACGTCAAGCTGAATTCACGGGAATGTGTGTTCTGACCGCAGGATAGTTGTATGGATACGAGAGGATGAGGTACTGGTCAAGTGATTATCTGTTTTAGAAAAGAAGAACTTGTAGACAAACATTGACTATACTGTCTCAAAATTTGTGCAGTATAGCTACGTTGTCAACAAATTAATTAATATATCTATAGATCCTAGGAAAAATCTTTCAGTCTTCTTTCTGTGAAGTTTAAATTACAAGCAGACTAGAATTTGTGAAACTTAAATGTCTGAAAATGGAAATAGTACCTTAAAATATGAATGAGAAAAAGTAAAAGCAGAACAGCCCATATTAGAAGGAAACAGTGTTGATGTTAGGGCCTTCTATTTTTCTCCATTTTAGACAGTATATGCCCACTGTTTTGTAGCAAAAGGAATGATTTAGACAAAGGCAAATGCCACTTCACTGTCAAAGTTATCTTAATGCATAGAAGCTGGTTCTAAAACAGTGCCCTATATATGATTCTATCTATATCAATATATACAAACAAAGACCCACATAAACTACATTTATATAATAGTACTATTACAGTGTTACTTTAAGAAAAGGAGAGCACTTAAGTCAAGGTCCGGGTCCTTTTTTCTTGGTCCTATATGCATATATATCTCCTCGTGAATAGAATAAGAACCAGGGTTAGAGAATTATGTACTTTATGAACAGGATTAAGAAATAATTCCAAGGAGAAAAGGAAAAGGGTAGGAGTAGCTAGGTTGCTTTTTTATTCTTTTTTCTTTTCTTAATTTACCCTTTGATTGTGTTTAAGATAACTTTTTTTAAGTAACGCCAGTGCTACGTAAGCCAATGTCAGGTGGAAATCTTCCAAAATCAAAGGCTAATATAAAGAAAAGACGAAATGAAACAAAACAAAAGCAAAAGCTGCCACAAGAACCTTTTTATTCTTCAAAAATGGTGGACGTGAGTTTGCATTTTCTAAGTTTCAGGTACCATGCAAAAGGAAAAGGAAAGGAATTCATTCATTATTCCACCATTATTTTAAAGCAGTACGTGGACATTTAACAGATACTTCCATACAAATATGCATATAATATAAGTATATATACAGAGAGACCCACGAGAGAAGAGAGAGAGAGAGAGATGCAGACCTTGAGGAGTTGCTCCATAATGTGCTCGCATTGGAAGGATAATCAGATTCTTGTTGCAAAGATCCATCGGATGAACCTCTTTGATCAATGAGTCGATGCAATCTGGCCCGTTCACTGGCTCCGGCACTGCCTATTGTGGAGAGATCATCTTCACCGGATCCATCCGAATGGCCTTCAAGAAAGAACCCAAAAATTTTCAAGAAAAATCCAATGCATGTATTGCTTAGAAATTTGGAAGGATTTTAATGTGTACATTTCAAACAAGGAAAAGAGCTGGGAGACTTTTAAGAAAGTTAATCAAATCTGCTAAGCAACCCGAATTACCTGAAGAAGCTGCAGGCTTGTCAGTGGTTTTAACAGTTCGATACATCTGCACTCGATAAGTATATATAATTAAAGAAAATTGAAAATCTAAAGAAAAGTGAAAACACTCTCAGATCCCTCTCTCAAATGACAGTAGTATTTGTTAAGAGTAAACCATCTGGGCTTCTGAGTCGTGTTCGTTTGATCATTAATCACGAGGTTGATGTTTGATAAGGCAGTGATGAGCTGTATTATTGAAAAATGATGACTTGCTTTTGTCTGTTATCATTCTACAATTTCTGCACTGCAATTTTTTTTTCTCTTTTTCCTCTTTAACTACTTCTCTGACTATCAGCCCCTCTCAAGATTTCTCCAATTCAATAATTCATTCATTCATTCACTCACTGCACTCATCGGTTAATGTGCCGGAGAAATAGACGGGGACCTCTACAGACATCACTTACCCAGAGAGAGAGAGAGAGAGAGAGAGAGAGAGAGAAGATATTACCGTAGAGAGTAAAATGTGAGTTTTTATTTCTCTGTACCTGTAAATGGCTTTTGACATGAGCTAGAGTGAGATCTTTGACATCCATAAGCTCAAGAACTGACTTGGGAGTAGCTCCTGAAAATCACAAATAAATGAACAAAAAAAGGATTAGAAAAGAACACAGAAAAATATTAAATAAAAGAAACAAAGGAAAAATCAAGGATAAATCAACAAAAATTAGGAAGAGAAATATTGTACTTTCATGGCCACCAAGAAGCTCAACTGCGTGAACAAAACGCGCATGAAGGGTGCTAGTCCATCGCATTCTGGGTGCCCTCATGCTTCGTTTTGTCGGGAGTTTGGGAAGAAATCTTGATCTCATCATTCCATGAGAAGCCTCAGAAGGCCCTACTCCATACTGTTGATTATGGTGACGATGAAATTGATAAGAGGAAGACATCCCATTAAACCTTGGGCCACCACCGGTGGGTATTCGGTAAGCTGAGGACGAAGCGTTAGGCCCCGAGTTCAAAATCGATATATGATCCAAACTACCACCAAAATAAGGTGAAGCTGAGTGCGAAACAGAAGGAGAACATAAAGACGTACAAGAAGAAGACGATGCTATAGTGGATGACCAAGAGGGACAAGTCATTTGATGGAAGCACATCTTTGGATCCTTCTCTCTGCTGGCATGGTCCAGAGGCAAGAACGGGAATGGACGGTTGGGATAAACCGGAATACCCTTTATAGGCCTCAAACCATCCGATACTTCCAGCACTGAAACCCCATGGTTTATGTGATTTATCTGGCTATTAGATTGGTAGATATGGTGATAAGGGTTTTGTGGTTGTTCTTCTAGACCTCCAAAGTAGAAATTTCGTCGAAACTGGGTCTCTCCGTTGACGGCAGTTGCAGGGTGAGCTAAGGACAGCTCAATGAAGGCATCACAATTCTTGGATGCGTTTTCTTCACGCCTTGTAGAAAGATCGAATTTTGCTGCAACTTCACTAACGCCATTGCAGATTGCCGATGAGGAACTGTTGGGAGGACTAATGTGTAGAGAAAGATCAGGGACTGGATTTGAAGAGGGTTCAACAAAAATCCCTTCCAAGGGCATTTTCCTTGCTAGATTTTCTTGAAATCAAATACTTTTCTTTTTCTAGATAATTTAAAATCCGAAGTGACATGGAAAAAGGGAAATAGGAGATAGAAAAAGAAACTCCAAATTTGTTGTGGGAGATTTGCAATACAGACTAAAATTTGTTTCGAGATTGTAAAGTTTGGAACAACTTGGTGTGCTATAAAGGTTAAATTTGAGAAATCTAGGAGATATTGAGTAAAGGGAGAGTGCAATCTCTTTTATCTTCTCACCATATCCAATCTGATATCAAGAAAAAGTAGTAAGAGAGAATAAACAGGGAGATAAAAAGGAAGTAAAGACTATTAAACCGAAATTTTTCTTGATTCTGGGAAATTAGCTTGAGGGATTAAAGTCCCTCAAAGATTGTAAAGCTATGAAAAGACTACTACTTCATGTATGCTTCAAAAGCTAAAGAAGAAAACTCAGGAGAGACGAAGTAAAGAAAAGTCGACATATTCTAGAGAGATGAAATAATGGAACAAGAGAATTCCAGAAAGGCATGAAAAGAAGAAGGGGGAATTGGGTTTGCCGTTCTTCCTCGAGAGTATGTCTAAGAAAATGACACTAAAACAAGGTCTCTTCCTCTCGAGTCAAAACACACACAAAGCAGCAAATAAAAAATAATAATCATTAATCAACACAAAAAACAAAAGATAAAAAAGCATAAACAACATTAAAAAGATGTGTTGCCACTTTTTGATTTCCTTCCCCGTAGACGACGGGATAAAAAATCTTGAAGAGAAAGACCCTCTTCCATGATTCCTTTTCCCCCCACCCTCTCCGCTTCTCTCTCTTTCTCACTCTCTCTCACAAAAGAGGAGAGAGAAATTCTCGTACTCATACACACACGTACAAGCATAATATTTTTTATTTCAGTGAAAAAGGACATTAAAGAAATTCCCTTTTCATGCTAAGAAATGACAAGCCACAGAGATAATCCAATCTTTTAAATTAAATTAATATATAAATCTTGTACTACACTAGACCACAACATCAAATCATGAAATTTTATGGGTTTTTTTTTTCCCAGATTTTTTCTAAGGTATTTCATGTATTGTTGTATAAAATATATAATCAAAGAAGCTAACAGAGTACAAGAGTCTCATTGACTTGATCTGTTTAGACATCCCGAAAAGGGTATTTGTTTGCTAGTGTACATTTGGCTTATCATGTGCATAAACCAAAATAAACCCACATTACCTTCTAATTCCTTTTCATTCTCCCAAATGTTCCCTTCTAATCTTTCAATACTTTTGTCTGGCGTCTTGGGTTTTATTATGTCTTCCCCCACATGAAACCCGTCATTGACTCCACCCCCACCCCCAACTCCCAGAAAGATGCTAGGTTTTATTTTTTATTTTTTTATTTTTCGAAAACCTAGGCTAAATCAACGGGTAAAAATATATGTATATTATTGGGAAGTAACTTCCCTAGCACTTTTAATGCTATTTCACCAGAGAGATTAAACAAGGTGCAAACATCTTTGTATCATTGAATTTTTAATGGGGGAATTCACTGTGTGACACCTTATTCGATGTTTACTAAATGACACAAGTCCACAGACGGTGTTTAGCTGGTGCATTAAATGCTAAAATTATATGGCTTTGGTTTATGTTGTTTGCTGCTCCACTTTATGAAAACATTTTCAGCAAAAAATAAAAATAAAAAATATTAATTTCTTATATCAAAGAAAATCATGCACACTGCACTAATTAGCATTGTTTTGAATGAGATACGTTGTTTGACAAACAACTATGTCCTAATTTTCTTTAATAAATAGAAGCTGGAAAAAAACTTATCATTCCCACTTACATCGCAAGATATTTAGGAGGGTGTATTCAATTGGAATTTTTAAAAACTTTAATGAACTTTTTTTTAAGTGATGACTTTTTGTGGATTTCGTGGATCTTTTATAGATTTGTATGGAATTAGTGGAAGTCTTTCGTAAACTTTTATGGATTTTCATTTTAAAATTTTTATAGATTTTTGTAGGATTCAAAAGACTTTTGAAAACTTTTATTTAAAATAGAATTCACGTGGATCTAGTACAATTGTGTGAAATTCTCACTTATTAGTTCCCACAATTCCCCATTCTTTCCTTTCTTCTTCCCATATAATAAAAACATTTGAAAAAATAAAAATTTAAGACCTTAATTAAATAAATAATAATAAAAATTATACATATATATGATTCAATATTATTAGTATAGTATACTTTTAAAAATAAATAAAAATCAATATTTTAAGAATAAACTTTTCATATAAAATTTTATAATTTAATGAAAAAATAGATATTTTTCACAAAAAAAATGAATGAAAAAAGAAAAGAGTTACAAGAATTCAATTTATTTTTTCATAGAAAATAGAAATAAATAATAAGAGAGATAAAGAATAAAAAATAGAAATAAATATAATCAATAAAAAAAATTTTAATCATACATGCCCATAAAATTTTAAAACTTAAAAGAAAGAAAGATTGAAAAAAAAAATTTGAAAATCTCCCAAAATCTCGTGATTCATGAGAGGCAAATTTTATATGAGTACTTTTCATTTAAAAGTTAGTACTCCAGAGACTTTTATAAAGTCTCTAAAAGTCATTAAAATTTGAATACCTCAAGATTTATAGAGACTTCTAAAAAGTTTCAATTGAATACACCGTGACTTTTAGAAACTTCTTAAAAGTCTATAAAAGTCTCAATTGAATGCACCATGACTTTTAGAAAGTCTGAAAAAGTTTCAATTGAATACCTATAAACTTTTTAAGTTCCAAAAAGTCATTAAAAATCTCAATTGAATGCACCTCCTTTAGTGACCAAATAAAATATACGTCAAAAATATTAGTGTAACTACATTAAAGACAATAAATTGTTTGGAATAAATTACAATTAAAAAAAAAAAACCAAGTGAATCAGTAGTTGAAAAATTCCTCCCAAAAGTAATTGTTAATTTAGATTATTTTTTGTGTGTGTGTGTGTGTGTGTCTCTGTGTGTGTGTGTGTGTGTGTGTGTGTGTGTGTGTGTATATATATATATATATAATTTTGGTGGAGTTAGTGAGGTGAAAGTACCTCAAATTGTCGCGTTTCAAATGAAATTAAAATATTTTTATTATAAAAATATTCATTGACAAAATATGTAAGAGTAGGTATCATTAATCATGAAATCACTCCCTGATTTCAATTAATGTTCAAATTTTCTTAAATACCGAATCAAAGATGTTAATATTGTGATCCAAATTCCATTGAAAAGTGATGTTTTGATTGAAGAACATGTTAAAGAGGTTAAAAAGTGATGTGTAATCCGAAACTCAGTGTTTGAGCAACCTTAAAGGCACCTAGACTGACATTTGCTTGCCACCTACCTAGCGCTCGAGCAGCATTGTGACACTCACTTCCCACGAGGTTGTCACTCAAGCAGCCTAGTTGTTTGGGAAAGTTTTGCTTCCTTATTTTTGGCTCTTTTTTATCCCCTTTTTCAACTATAATATAATATCTTGGGTCCTATATATACTCCACGAAGTTCTTGGCTTTCATATCACTTGTGTATAAGGTTTAGAGAGTTAGACAATATAGAAAACACAATATTCTTTGTATCTTTCTCTATTTCTCTACCAATTGTTCTTCTACTCTTTAGGAATGGCAAAAAAAACTCATTAAACATGATACCTGCAGAACTCCTTACTCCAAACAGAACAGAAATTACCCTCTTAATTGGGTATTTGGGTCGGCACATGACAATGAATTTTGCCCCGGGTGGGTATGGGACAAGTACGGTAACAAGGGCCTGCCCCGTTTAACATTTTTTAAGAATTTAATACTTTAAATAAAAAAATTCCACAAAATTTCATTAAGGCCTATTTGATTGGCCACATTTTCTATGGAAAATGGAAAACCACCAAAATGTAGGGCTTGATTGCAATATTTTCTAGGGAATTCCATTTCCACATTTCCCCCCTCCTTGAAATGGTAGTAGGCGGGAATTAGGTTTTCCAGCTTTATTATATATTTTTTTAAAATTTTCAGCAATGGGAGCAAAATCTATCAACAATTGTAAAAAAAATTTATCCCTTTAGTTGATAATTTTCTTGAAAAAAGAACAGACAAACACCAAAAGATCTAAAATTTCAACATTTTCTAGGTGAAAAATTATACTAATCAAACACATTTAATTGACGATTGCCAGAAAAATAAATTCTAGACAGTTCAATTCCCTAGAATTCTTTTTCTTTCCACTCAAATTCCATCTTTACAATCAAACTAACCCTAATTTTAGCAGAAGATGGCAATTAAGATTATTTAAGGAATATGATAAACAATAAAAATCATAACTTACCAAATATTTTCAACAATTTAGTTTTTAAAAATATATAAATTAATTAAAAAATTTAATGACTATATTATTGTCACATTTTAATGAATGTAAGCAATAAAATAAATTATCAAAAACAAAAAATAATACAAAAATGAACTAACACTAAACGAGGCAAGGGTCTCGACCCAACTTTTTGCGCCTTAAATGGATAACAGGGCGAGTACGGGCAAGAAATTACCCTATTAATAGGGGAGGTAACAAGGGCCTGCCCCGTTTAACATTTTTTAAGAATTTAATACTTTAAATAAAAAAATTCCACAAAATTTCATTAAGGCCTGTTTGATTGGCCACATTTTCTATGGAAAATGGAAAACCACCAAAATGTAGGGCTTGATTGCAATATTTTCTAGGGAATTCCATTTCCACATTTCCCCCCTCCTTGAAATGGTAGTAGGCGGGAATTAGGTTTTCCAGCTTTATTATATATTTTTTTAAAATTTTCAGCAATGGGAGCAAAATCTATCAACAATTGTAAAAAAAATTTATCCCTTTAGTTGATAATTTTCTTGAAAAAAGAACAGACAAACACCAAAAGATCTAAAATTTCAACATTTTCTAGGTGAAAAATTATACTAATCAAACACATTTAATTGACGATTGCCAGAAAAATAAATTCTAGACAGTTCAATTCCCTAGAATTCTTTTTCTTTCCACTCAAATTCCATCTTTACAATCAAACTAACCCTAATTTTAGCAGAAGATGGCAATTAAGATTATTTAAGGAATATGATAAATAATAAAAATCATAACTTACCAAATATTTTCAACAATTTAGTTTTTAAAAATATATAAATTAATTAAAAAATTTAATGACTATATTATTGTCACATTTTAATGAATGTAAGCAATAAAATAAATTATCAAAAACAAAAAATAATAAAAAAATGAACTAACACTAAACGAGGCAAGGGTCTCGACCCAACTTTTTGCGCCTTAAATGGATAACAGGGCGAGTACGGGCAAGAAATTACCCTATTAATAGGGGACAACGAAGGTTGCCCCATCTCGAACCGAACCCGCCTTATTGTCATCCCTAGTACTCTTCTAATGTTGTAATTGCTATTTCATAGTTTGTTATAATCTCGTCTTTGTCAATTCGATAACAAAGTGTATCGGAGATTGATTTGATTTGTTCAATTTTTTGTTCTTGTGATGTCAATCTGGAAGTATGATACTTCGTTTTTGGATCGCAAAACTAGATTTTTATTGTGGAGGTAAAGATGTGAGCAATGTTCACTCATATGGATTTGGAGTGTTCGGATTTTACAAAGTGCCTTCAAATTGGTTGATGGAGAAAAAACAACATAAGGATTGAAATGTCTTGTCACATATTCATCTTCATCTTTCAAACCATATTCTTCATGATGTTTTGAAGGAGAAAAGTATAGATACATTATGAATGGATTCGGAACAATTACGTATGACTAAGAGTCTAACGAGTAAATTACACTTGAAACAGCATTCATAATTTCATATCGTATCACAGAAGGTACATCTTTAAAA